TCTCTATATCCAGGTTCCAATGGATGGGCAAATGGGCTGTTTCCAAGATTTAGCTATTACAAACGGTGCCGCTATAAACATGGGTGCACATACTTCTCTGTGATACGATTTTTTTAGTTCTCTTGGAAAGATACCCAGCACAGGGATGGCTGGGTCAAGTGGAACCTCCTGTCCAAGCTCTTTGAGGGAATACTCTCCAGATGACATACTCAAGGCATTGATAAAGATTTGGGTGTCTTAAAATATAAAATTAACCTGAGTATGTAAAAAGGAAATAGTATTTATGAAGAGGAGCATAATCCACAGACATAATATTGCTTTGAATATTTACAGAACTCATTTTTTGTAGGTGTTTGTGATAAACTCCAGAGACAGGTGCCCTACCACTAAGCTATCTATAGCCTCAGCCCCAAGAAGTCATTTTTCAACATGTGTTTCTATTATTCAAAGAACTGCATTAATTTTAATTTACTTCCATTTTTCTTTTCCAGAAACTTTATATATTATCGTGGAATAAATGTCATAAAAATTATAAAATATCTCTTGACAACTTGATAAAAAAAATTTTTTTAAGTAACCTCAAAGCACTATTTGTATGTTACCTTAAAGGGAAAAACAGTAAAAATTAAATTACCTTTCCTTATTTTTTGTGTTTCTAAAACTGCCTTCCTCCAACTACTCTCAAAAAGAAAAGGACCTTCCAGGGAACTTCGGGTGACTCTTGAAGTCTCAATCTTCATTTTAGGAGATAGCACTGACATTTTTTTTTCTTCTTTCAAGATGCTATTTCAGATACAGGACACAAAACACGAAGAAAACAAGGCATTGTTTATAAATATCTTTTCCTGTTTGCTTTTCATCATGCAGGTTATACGTTAAGTTACATTTTACTTATAACATGTACATATAATCTTAGTATTTTAAAACAAGAGACTTTTAAGAATAAAGTGAAAATATGTAGTCATAATTTTAAAATTGTAAATATTATATCTTAGTGAATTATTTCAAATTCAATGTTACAGATATTTGGCAATATAAACAAATGCAAAGTCCAACAAGTTATCATTTACAAACAGTAGAAGACTTGGAATTCTCTCAGAAATACTATTATAAAATGTATTTGCGCATTAACAAAGGCAATTCCACCCTCAATGGAAAATGAATATATCCTCAAGATAGCCAATATTTTTTTCTAAATACAGACACAGAAGAATAATCAATCACATACCCTACTTAATACATTAAATACATTCAATTTGATCATGTATATTAGTGTCTGTTATGAGCAAAACATTACTAAACCCCAAAGAGAACACAACCAGGAGTAAGGAGCAGCCCCTACTCTCAAGAGTCCAATGGCAACAGCAAAGAATGACAGCACAGCAGCCACAATGTATTGAACACCTATAATTCCTTGCTGGCCATTTTCTATCCATTTTCTACAATCTTCACAACAAAGGGATCTAGGATGGCCAGATCCAGCTACGCTCATTCATTTGTACAAAATAAGTTATATGCTGAGGGTTGATTCTATACCAAGAATCGCGTGGGGCTCTGGAGTAATGTGCTGAACAAGCTGTCCCTGAGTCCAGTAAAGGAAACACGGATGAAGAAATGGATAATGCAGTTTAGTAAGGCCTATGCTAAAAAATGAAAACACACTGCTAGGGAGCGCGGAGGAGAGGACCCTAACCCGCACTTGAGCATCAGAGACTTTCCAGAGGAAGCTAACAAACAAAGGCATGGAGAGGTGATGGTTGTTAGCAGAGGAAAAGCCTGCAGAAAGACCCCGCTGTGAGAGGCAGCAGCTCCAGAATGTCTTTTAATACTGGTGTGTACACTGTTTATGGCAGGGAAGGAGAGGGAGAGGGAGAAACAAGACAAGAACATAGGGAGAAGGAGGCAGGTGAGGGCACGCGGGGGGGGGGAGAAGGGGGGAAGCAGGGAAATGGGAAGGGGCAAAGGACAGGAGGAGAGAAGAAAGGGAGCCTCAGAGATGGAGG